TTTATTTTGGAAAAGTTGCAATTTGTTGGAATGGCAAAGTGCTGCATTTGAAAAGATAGGACATCCATAAGTTAGGATGGGCCTTATAAAGGATTTGTAAATACGCAATTTTGAATCAATTGACACATGTGATTTTCTATTAAGAAGGCAATACAGACTTGAGAAGCAAGCAGCACTTGCTTTGTTAATAGAATAGTTAATATGATGCTTAAAAGTTAATTTCCTATCAAGAATGACTCCAAGATACTTAACAGATTCATTCCAGTTAAATGTCTTATTATTGACGATAATGGTGTCTTTTGACATTTTGTCAATCATTTTTGTGGATTTAGTAAAAATTGAAAATTCTGTCTTAGATTCATTTAAATTAATTTTCCAATCTTTAAAATAGTTCTGTAAGCAACTAAATGTTTTGACTAGTTCAGATTTTATTGTTTTAAGATTTTTCCAAGTTGACTGAACAAAGAATGCAGTATCGTCAGCAAAGAGTGACAGATGACCTTTACGAGGAACGTAAATGTCATTGATAAACAAATTAAATAAATGAGGAGCGATAATTGATCCTTGTGGAACACCAGAACTGACACTGAATATATAGGAATCCACAGATTGAAAGAAAACATAAGCTGATCGACCACTAAGATAAGATTGGATTAGTTTAGTCAAATGTTCAGGATATTTACTTACGATTAATTTATGAATGAGACCATCATGCCAAACACTATCAAAAGCTTTTCGAAGATCCAGTAAAACAATACCAGTGCTTTTGTTTTTATTAAAACCAAAAGAAATCTCCTCTGTGATTCTTAAGATTTGATGGACTGTAGAGTGCTGTGATCTAAATCCACATTGCTGTTTAATGAGAATTTCATTTTCCGTTTCAAAGTCATTTAAACGTTTAAGAATTAATTTCTCAAAGCACTTTCCGAGACAAGAAAGTAGAGAAATAGGCCGAAAGTTGTCAGGAGAAGTGCAGCTATCTTTACTTTTAGGAATTGGAATGATTTTTGCTATTTTCCATTGGCTAGGAAAGTATGACATTCTAAAACAAGCATTGAACAAGTCAGTGCAAAGCGAGATAAAAGGATTGCAGCTTGATAAAAATGACAAAGCCGAATTTGGAATATTATCCTGGCCATATGACTTTTTGGGATTTAGAAACTTAAAAATTGAAATAACTTCATCTCTGTTGATAATGTCATTAAACTGTGGCATAACTGAACTAGAATTTAAGGATTGAACAGAGCTATAAACTAAGTTATCGTATTTTGACGTCGAATTTTGTACAATCGAATAGGAGTTTTGGAAATTTCTTGCAAAAGCATCGGACTTATCTTTGTCAGAATAATGTGTTCCGACATTATCAGTTAAGGGAGGAATCGAGCGCGTTTTTCTTTTGAGGGATTTAGCAAATTTGAAAAGAGAATTATCATGATATGATAAATCTTTGAGTTTTTCAGTAAATGCAATTGACTTTTCAGAATTAATTTGATGTCTAATCATTCTATTCAGCAGATTCATTGAGGATTTAAATGCAGGATCTCTCGAGCGCTTAAACAAGTTTCGAAAATGATTTCGATTTTTGATCAAAACATTTACAGCTTCAGAATACTTATAACGAAGAAGAAAGGATTTCTTTTTCGGAGCAGAACATGTCAAAGCATTAGAAATCATAGCAGAAATACTATCAACAGTCTCATTAATTGACTCAGGCGATGATAAGTCTGAGATTATAGAATGGCATCCTAAATTAATCATATGACGGAATTTTATCCAATTAACTTTTGATAGATTAAGTTGAGAATGAGAAGAAGATTGAGTTGACTGAAGATCAATTTTAAATAGTAAAGGTAAATGATCTGAAGAAAGATCATTCAACACTTCAACACTACTGACTGAATCGTAACTTTTTGCTACGACAAAATCGACACAAGAAGGATCACCGTTGTAAGGATACAACGTAGGTTCATTTGGTTTAAATATTTTAAAATTCAAATGATTAAGAATTTTGGAGAGATCAGATCCTTTGCGATCATTGGATGTATTATTCCAGTCAATGTGTTTTGCATTAAAATCGCCTGAGACAATTTGTGGACCTGACTGATTTAAAATATGATTAAAAAATAATTTTGACTGAGAGCGAGTTGCAGAAGGCGAGCAATATATTGATGAAATTTTTAATACTGAGTTATCTAAACGAATTGAAATTGTACATGATTCAGCGAAAGTAAATTGCGACTTTACAAAACCAAAATGAGGAATAGATGATCGGATAAAAATAGCAGTGCCACCGCGAAATCTATCCGCTCTATAAGATGAAAATCCAGGAATATAAAAGGTTGAACTGTCAGTGAGCCATGATTCGCTAATTAAAATAATATCGATAGAGTGTTTATCGATAAGGAGGAACAATTCTGTAGATTTGTTCTGCAATGAATGTGCATTCCAACTAATGATTTTAAGAACCATTGTTGGATCGGATTGGAGTACAGTACTTCATGAAAATTAAAAGTTGTGCTGACTGATCAACACAGGCACTAAGCTCATCAACCATGCTAATAAAAAGATTGACTGTCTCGTTAATATTTGGCAATGAGATAAATTTGTTTTGAGCTTGTTGGAGCCTCGAAATAGCACCACTATTTGGATTTGAAACTTTGAGGGATTGAGCAAAACTTACATTATTAGCTGAACTATTATTTACAACAGGAACTGAATGATTTTCTAGTGCTGGAAACTGAGATGAAGAAATGAAGTTGACAGGACGCACAGGAACACTGATGTTCTTCTTTTGGACTATTCTACGTTTCTCGATATGCTTAAGATAAACTGGACAGCCTCGATGATTTGATGAATGCGAACCGTTGCAGTTGCAACATTTAGGATCTCCTTCGCGAGAAGTTCTTAAGCAAGCACCAGGATCATGCGATTCAGCACACTTGACACATTTTTGAATTTGACCACAATTGAATGAGGAATGGCCCCATTGTTGACAGCGAAAACATTGTGTGATCTTTTTATTTGATTTCATCAGAATTTCCCATCTGACTACGATTCCATCGATGATTTTGTGTGAATGATTCAGGACGTTCAGTGTGACAGACTTGTCAAAGTGAACTAGATAAATAACATAATCGTTATTGCGAATGAAGTAAGACACTTTTGTTGCTGGAACATTGCAACTTTTGAATGTTGCAAGGATGTTTTCGCATGAATCATCGAAATATCCTTTCATTAAAAAATACGATGGCTTGTCAGCTGGATCGGTGAACGTATGATAGGGGATCTGCTGGGAACGTAACTTGTCGATGACTTTCTTTTTGTCCTCAGAAGTAGCACACAGGACTTGAGTCGAACTGCTATTCTTGACTTTAATTAGTGGACGAGATGAAAACTGAATGTTTTGCAAAACATTCTTTGCAACCTGGATGTTTGCAGTCAAAAATAATGGCTTAATTTGCTTACCAGCACCATTTATTTGCGACGGAAGTATAGTTTGAGGCTGGTTAGGTGCCTGAGATGAGTCTTGAACACAAGAAGAACTTGCAGACGTCTGAGAATTAGCCTTGTTGGTGTCATTTAATTTTGATGCTTTGGCGTTTTTCCTCGCAGTTGGAGATTTGGAATTTTTCCGTTTATTGGCCTTATTGCCGTTCGTCATCGCAGATAACACGAAAATGCTCTATTAATTATAGCGAATCACTAGTTTTGGTGTTAAATTATTCCTTTAAACACGAGAATTTAATTAAAAAATTTTTTTTTGTTGTTTATGTTTACTTTAGTGCAACGACTTTTAGTAGAGTCATCCCTTAATTTTAAAGCAATAAACTTTAAGATTTTAGTTGTGGGTTTTCTTGTTCTCAGAGTTGTTAACTAGGTTTTCCAGTATCCAAATAATTGCTAAGATTTGTTAAGGAATTCACTTAGGGGCCGTTCACTTATGACGTCGGGGGGGGGGGGGGGTCAGACAGAAAAGAACAATAGAAATTCCTGGAAATCCATTGTTCGTTTTTGAAAAATGACCGTTAATTTCGGACGTCATAATTGAACGGCTCCTTATTACCCTGAAATTTCATATGAAGAATCAAGGTTATAAAATCCATAAAAAACCTGAATAGCTTTTGAGTTAAGATGTTCTGAACCACAACTCTGTCCATTATTGAGATAAATTTAAATAATTTATTCTTTTCATTTAATCGTGAAAATTCCAGCATAAATTAAAATTTGCTTGATTTAATTAATTTATCTAATTGTGAAAAATCAAGGAAGAATAGAGAACAGTACAGTCCAGAGACACAGTCATTTCTATCAAGATGGAGAGTAACTTTAATTAAATTTCTTGAGAAATAAATAAAATCTGTGGTCGTCTTCCTTCGAGTGCAGAATTAAATCTAAAGTAGGGGAAATGACGAAGAAAGAAAAGTGAGCATTATTGTTCAGGAACAATATCACTAAAGCTGTAGTAAACAATTTAATATTCCGAGAGTAATTTTCTCGATTTCTGATGCATAATCATGCTTACACATTTATAACCCCTTGAAAGTGTTTTTGCAGATTTTTTGCAGACGTGAAATTGAAATTTTTGATGCCTTCCAAGACTTCCACCTCCTTAATACATTTCTTCTTTTTTTTTAAAGTATAAAAAATATTTCAGATAGAGCCTCGTACTCGAGGGCATATTATTGACATAAAACCGAAATTGTTTAAAGGAATTTCGAGAAGCATGTCTCAAATAACAGCAGTGCTATTTCCAAGGACACAAGGGAATAAAAAATAATTTCCAATAACAGCAGCAGCTTACATACCGATAACCGTATAGATGAAAATTAGGAAAGGTTATTTAGGATTTATTTTATGCAAATTAGATTGTGTCTAGCTTCTTCATCTTCATCCTGATAGATAGATATGAATTTAATATTCGTGACGGAAGAAAATGAGCTTATCATCTGCCTATCTATCATAATGTTTTCTTTCCTGGTATTTTTTTTTGTGTGAATATAAATTAATTAACATTAATGAAATTTAAAGTAATGTATAACAGGAACTGAGAATTTTAAGGAAAAGTTAAAGTGTCTGAAACTTTCTCGTGTTTGTCGACATGCTTGAATTGACATTTTCTAACGAGTATGTTTGTGTTGTAAGCAATGGCTCACGTTCAGCTGCAAATTCTTCTTCAACTGCCACCTGTTGAATGTCTGAATCTCGTCGACTTGTTGAATGTGTCGTTAGTAAGCTATCACTATGTTTTGTAATCAATATTTTCGGAAAATGCATGCCACCATCTGCTGATGATTGGTCATCATCTGTTAGCTCAATTTTACTGCCGCCAGCAATAAGTTTTTTAAAGTTGCTCAATAAATTCTTACTCGTGCTATGTGTAAGGCCATTTTTAGTTGCTGTTGACGACGATGCTTGCATTGATGAAGGCGAATTGGCAGATGATGTTTGTAATGGCATTTTACCAAGCGGATCAAAATGTGGCGATAAGAATTCATGATGAGAACTACGTCGTGCACTTGCCGTATTAAATAATGAGTCAGATGGAGTACGATAAATTTTCGTAGAGTAAAATGCTGTATTATCATCATTCAAATGTGACGTTAGTGATGATGAAGTGCCAAAGAAGAACTCACTTAATTGTCTTTTTAACTGCGGCTGAAACATTTGAGGCATGTTTGTTGTTACTTCAGTTAGGCTTGCTTTACGTGAACCACATGTTGATGGCGTTCGTGCCTGTATCTCATAGTGCAATTCAATCTTTGTCTTCTGCTTACGCCATATATTATAAATATTTTCTTGAATTGTTTTGTTTTTGAAGCCATACAACATTGCATTTATCGTCGGCGAACACAGCATAAGGAATTGTATGAGATAGATGATTATGTTTAAGACAGTCTCCGTTGTTTCATATTGTTGCTTTGTCTCCGACGATATAAAAGAATTGTTTGACTTTCGTATAAAGCTGAATACAATGACGAAGATGTAGTATGGACAGTAAAGTATGATAATCGAAGCAAGTAACTCGAAAACGACAAGAGTCGCTTTCTGACTTTTCCTTTGCATCTCTAAGGAGTTTGGCTTTGGCGGATATAAGCTCGCTAGGGGAAATGGTTGATTTATTAATCCCGGTATGGGAGGAAATGGATTCTTCTGATGAGTTATGGCAATTTGTGCTGATAAAACTGATTCATAAATTGCACTTGCAATCCGATGACGTTGATAGTTGGCTGATTATAAGATAAGATAAGAGAAGAATGATTCATGATTAGATTCAGAATTTATGGAAATTATCAAAAACTTAGAACTGGCGACTTACCTATCGTTAGTATCCGTATATTACAGGCAACAATCAACGTTATTGGCAAGAATATTGTCAGTAATGTTGTCAGTAGAATTTGTACTTCAAACCAATAATAATCCCTATCTAGATTTCTATTCCATTCATTTTGCACGTCCATGTGTTTGAAAAAATATACACCCATTATACTCCGCTCACCCGATATCATTAGCATCACATATACAGGAAATATTGTAAGGATTATTATTATCCATCCGCTACATAAAAATATTGTAACCTATAGTGACAAACAAAACGAAAAAAATAAAGGACAATAAATGAGACGATGCGACAATAAAAAATAAGCAGTGTCAGTGAGACGATAAAAATATATTTATTTTTTTTGGGAGAGGAAATAGAAGAATTTTTTCTTGGAATTTTCCCCTCGAGAAAAATTTCAAGGTAATGAAGGACGGGCAGATTGATAATTATCATGGTAATTTAACATGGAAGTCACCAAATAATTAAAGGAAAATGCTCATTAATGAAGAAGTAAATGAAAATCTATTTAATTAACACCAATTTATGGTGTGCCCTACATTCACAAACTTGCTTTATATTTTTCATGGAACATGTAGCATTCTGCCTGTCTGTATATGCATTCTTAATAATTATTTCATTAGAAAATGAAAAATAAATGACATAATTGCTTAGTAATTTGGCTTGAAATATTGATTTTGATAATTAGAGGACTAGCATATATGTGGCTATAATCCAGGGCTTCTTAAAGATATTTTACAAGCAAAAGGAATTCAATGATAAGGTTTATGTCTTCTACAATAGTTTAAAACTCTTCCTAACCGTTACGAGCTGTAATTTTGACGTTTTACTTTCTCATTGGAGTCTAAAGAGACATTTCTGATCACCATTCCACATAACTGTGTCTGTGTGTGTAACTGGATCTAATCCAACACGCACTTTAAGAACCACTGTCCTACATCATTTCAATTTTCATTTAGCTGTCGATTATTCAATTAAAATTTCAAAGGAAAGACTGTAAAAGTTACATATTATTCGTAGAATAAAATTTCCTTCTGAGTCTAATTCCTTTTTAAATTGACATGTCTAGCAAAATTTTATGAATGAATCATTTCTTGGAAAAAATTTCCAAAGTCATCCTACATGGACATAAAATTTAATTTTGGGTTTTCTAGAAATTATTTTGTCTACTAAAGCACAACATAGAAATGATTTCCAGGAAGGAATATAGCTTTGTATAATAAACTCAATTATTTAACCCACTCTGATTTATTCATTTTCTTATTTTTTCTTCTATTTTTAATTAAGTTGCAAGTTGAAATATGGAACAGGCAGAATATTTATTTTTAGATGTACAAATAAAATGAATAATTTATATAATTATTCTGTATATCTGTCGAGTGGATTTAATCATTTTGATTCAATTAAATCGATTGACCTTGTTTAATTTTTCATTATTTATCAACTCATCCACTCCCTCGTTCTCTTTCTACCTTTGAACATTCCAATTGATTGTCTGACGTCAGGGGTGGAGCTGAAAATTTTATTTAAGTTTGTTCAAATGAATTTAAAGCTTTAAAATTGGAAATTTAGAAATATTTTAATCAATTTTAATATGAAACTTCCTTGAACCCTAATCCTAGCTACATCCCAGTCTGACGCTCGATATCAAATAATATAATGACACATGGGTGATATATAGACATAGAAGTATTGTTTAAACATACCTTCTTTGTTGTAAATAACGTGTTATAATGTAACGGTGAACAAATTGCATAATATCTATCAAAGTTTATACAGCTTATTGTCCATAGACCGATTGGTTGTAATAAGTGAATTAATAAATCATTAAAGCTATAAACGGAATCATAAATTGATGAGGTTTTTATTATTGTTGCAGCGCTGGTTGATGACGAACGATATGTTGATGTTGATGTTGTTGTTGTTGTATAGTCAAAACTATTAGAATATAATGCATTACTGTAATGATTATGAAGACTCATACTACTTGCAGTCGTCGTGATTGTGGTTATAGCAAGCGATTCCGGTGTCCCCAGATCAACTCGTTGAATGTATGATGGTATAATGGAATTGTTTATTAATGCCCATAAATACAGGATCGATAATGCTAAACATACAATGCTTAAATGTAGGAGCAAAATTCGGTTTGGTGAATTCAACTAAAGAGCGAAAAGAGAAAAGATTAAGCGATTAGGTATTCATGTTATGCTGTCAAAAATAAAATAAGGGATGTATATTGAATCTATCTACTCAAAAAATAAAATAAAAGTTGAATAAAATAGTCAACGAATGGATCAATATGTGCATCAATAATGTTCAGAATTTTAATCAATTTCATATTTGTATTCAAGAAATTTTAAAAATTTCTCATCGTATTCATAGAATCAGGGTTGTGGATCTTTACTGACAGCTTGAATATTATTTACTGGATGCCAAAAAAGAGCAACTGCAATTCCAAAGCTAAGCAAAATTACTGTCAATGCCAGATACTCAAATTTAATTTTTTGAGTATTCATATCAAGTTTTACCAAAGTTCACAATGGTTCTGGTTAACTGTATTACCATAGAAGCTGTCAACTGTAAAATGATTTTACTGTCTAAAAGCTTTGGGTTCATAAAATTACGAAAATTGCATTAGTTTTAACAGCAGGAGATAATTTAGCCAACAACAGTTATTTGCTTCCAGTACAATGTTAGTGACATCATCATATCTCATTCCAACACTGCTATTATGAATTTGATTACATGAAAAAAATTTAGGATGCAATACAGCTACAAATCGATCTCCCACTTACTCATAAACTGAACTTTTTAGGTCACGACTCTTCATCAAACTTATTTGTATGCAAAATTAATTTTGAGCTAGTTCTTGTAAGTTACGAAAGGTTATTCATGTTTCGTGTTTGGTTTTTAATATTTATGAGTCTAATGAAAGTAAGGATTAATGTCCTTTAGATCTTTTCAGATCATCATGAATGATTAATAATAAATGAAAGGGTCTAAGGCCTTCTAAGAATAAAATAATCATCGATTAAAGCTGAATATTTGCTATGAAATCAATTGAGAAAGTTTTGAAGTAGGTAAAAAAGTTAAAAAGTTGAAGGTAAGAAGCGTGCGTGATTAAAGTTGAGGCAAAAAAGGTTTTTTAAAGTTTGATTGCTTTCGGGATTTTTTTCTTCTGCATATTAAAAAAGATTTCGCACACTTTTGCCATTAGGCATTAATAACAAGAGAAAAAGTCCCTTTGAATGATTATTTTCTGATCGAAACTGGCTTGCAGCATTCTATATTATTTTTTCAAATGAATATCACCCAAATAATTGTTTGTTCTTGATAAAAGTTGCAGCAGCTCTTAAAAAAATGTTTTTTTGTCGCTATAAAAATTTCAGATTTTTTATTTTATTTTAATGAATGTGGGCGGATAAAAACAAATGTTCATATTTATGTTTGCATGTATTCATATGAAATGTTTATTTGTATCCCCTGTGGCAAGTAAGTACTTTTAAACAAAATAATAGGATGTGAAAAGGAAAATTTTCAATTCTTATACTGAAAAAAACTTCATCCTGAAAAAGTTTTTATGAGAAAATTTTCTCTTTTTCTTCTTCTTGGAAATTCCTAAAGTTCATCAAATTTAAAGTATAAATGAAATAATTGGTAGGTATATAACTTAGTCGTATGTGTAATGACGCAAATGTTGTTATTTTTTGACATTTTAATGTCATCATTTAAATTAAGGCTTACATTCTCAAATTACCATTTGAACTAGGAAATGTTTTAATTTTTAATCCACAAATCTTGAAAATAATGAAAAAGAAACTGATATGAGCATCAAGACTGTCACAAATCCACAAATGAATGTTCATATTTCAATTTAAATAAGTTAGACGAATACCAACAATAATTCCTTGAAGATGTCTTGAAACTAAAGTTGCAAAAAGTTTTCTATGTCTTTTTATGTACGTCCAGAGTATAAGAAAATCCCGAGCAATAACAGAAAAGTTGTAAATTTGCATTAACATTTCAGCATCAGCGGGAGAGGAAACAAGAAAGTTTCTCATGTATATTTTTATTTTATCAGCGAAGATAATGCGACATAATTTTTCATTAAATTTATTTATCTTTTTGCATAGAGCAGAAGACATAATTCTATTTTAAGAGCATTTTCTGAAAGGTAAGAGTGGCTATTGTCCACATGTTGTCTGTCGGTCACCCACTTCATCCCTATTGTAACTTCCTTAAATAGAAAGAGTCAATAAAAGAAGTAGAAATCTATGCAGCCAAACTTTCAAGCTTTGTGACAAGGTGGGAGGAACTAAGGTCTAAGAGGTCGTTTATTGCGTAAATATTTCAGAAATTCCTTGAAAATTCGCTTAAGAGCAGCACACTCATCGAATTTATTCCTTATTTTCCTCTCATGGCAACTTCATTCATAGTTCAACAAGGTGTGTGCTTCTTCAACAACTTAATAGCTCTATATTTTCATTTATTTATTCAATTTCATTACATTTTTCTCCTCATCGTCTACAATCGTCATTTTATATTCATTTCCATTTGTATCTTGTTAGTAACAAAGTTACAATTATGACTCTTATACAGTACAAAGTTGATGTTCGTGACATGAAATTACAACTCTTTTTTTAAAAAAGGAAAATTCAATATTATCTAAAACAATAAATCATCTGACCTTTTTGTTAGGGACGAAGGTTCAAGGCACTTACTTGTTTTGTCAATATAACTAAGACGATTATTGAACAATTTGCAATAATTCCAAAGCATGATACAATAAATGATAGGAGGATTGTTGCAATCGACATTTTCCTTCCGCCAGTTTCGTCTTCTCTGACTATAAACTATTGCAGAATGCCTGCAAGAGTTTCAGCTGCTGTTATTTTGCTATCGTCGTCGTCACTTATTACTATTGTTGCTTTGTTGTTAAGCAATTAAGGTATTTTCCACACACAAATGCTCTTGCACGCTTTATGCTTGAAGCTTATTCTTAATATTAGATAATTAAAATTCATCTCACCCAGCACTTTATTTTCTATCCATTTTAAATGCTTTCAATGGATATTTGATACAGTTTATGTTCATTTTGTTGTTCATGATGAGTTTCATTGCTTGCATTTTTAATCAACTTTGGATTTAGTTTCGCATTAAATTTTAAAACAGATTTTTTCTCAACTATTACACGATGTTTGGTGCTGGAAATTAAAGAGAATAATGTTAATGGAAAAGTTTACTTTATTATCATGATTAGTATCGTTATTAATTAGAAGGAAATGCGGGTTTGGATAAAACTAGAAGAGTTGTTATTTGATGTTCATCCATCCATAATTCAAAGTAAAATTTTCGTCTTACAGAAAACTTATTATATTCACACCGTTTTCACGTGTGAATCTATTGGTTTTGTTCAGATTGAAAAATCAGTTTTTTGAATTTTGTGAGGATATGGAGCAAGAAAGCTTAAAATGTTCAGAGATGAAAAGTTTGTGCCTTGAATTTCACATCTTTTGCAAAAAACAAATTTCAAATTGGTAGCGGCATTGCTGAGAAAATCGCAAAATATGCTTTCTGTAAGCAAGCAAACAAGCAAGTTAATCAGAAAGAAATCTCAATAACGAGACATTGAAGAGGCTTCTAGTTTTTTACATTTGATCCGTGCTGCTCTATAGAAGAGCTGTATTGTTTTTAGGCAAGGTAGGAACAGCCGTTGCTTCACTTTTTTTTAAATTAAACTTTGGATGAAAAAAATTTTTTTGAGCAAAGAACCAAGTAGGAAATACATTTTCAATTTTGGACTAAGGACGACCCTAGCCAAAATCAATTTCGTCACTTTTTTCTTCGAGGGTTTATCCAAATGGATTGAAACTTTGCATAAATATTCTAGTGCTTAAAACAAATACAAATAAAACATTCTAAAATTTTTTTGAGCAAAGAACCAAGTAGGAAATACATTTTCAATTTTGGCTAGGGGCGACCCTAGTCAAAATCAATTTCGTCACTTTTTTCTTCGAGGGTTTATCCAAATGGATTGAAACTTTGCATAAATATTTCAGTGCTTAAAACAAATACAAATAAAACATCTTAAAATTTTTTAAGCAAAGCACCAAGTAGGAAATACATTTTCAATTTTGGCTAGGGGCGACCCTAGCGGATTGAAACTTTGCATAAATATTCTAGTGCTTAAAACAAATACAAATAAATCATCCTAAAATTATTTTGAGCAAAGAACCAAGTAGGAAATACATTTTCAATTTTGGCTTGGGGCGACCCTAGTCAAAATCAATTTCGTCACTTTTTTCTTCGAGGGTTTATCCAAATGGATTGAAACTTTGCATAAATATTTCAGTGCTTAAAACAAATACAAATAAAACATCTTAAAATTTTTTTAAGCAAAGCACCAAGTAGGAAATACATTTTCAATTTTGGACTAGGGGCGACCCTAGTCAAAATCAATTTTGTCACTTTTTTCTTCGAGGGTTTATCCAAATGGATTGAAATTTCGCATAAATATTCTAGTGCTTAAAACAAATACAAATATAACATCCTAATTTTTTTGAGCAAAGAACCAAGTAGGAAATACATTTTCACTTTTTTCTTCGAGGGTTTATCCAAATGGATTGAAATTTTGCATAAATATTCTAGTGCTTAAAACAAATACAAATATAACATCCTAATTTTTTTGAGCAAAGAACCAAGTAGGAAATACATTTTCAATTTTGGACTAGGGGCGACCCTAGTCAAAATCAATTTTGTCACTTTTTTCTTCGAGGGTTTATCCAAATGGATTGAAACTTTGCATAAATATTATAGTGCTTAAAACAAAAACAAATAAAACATCTTAACATTTTTTTAAGCAAAGAACCAAGTAGGAAATACATTTTCAATTTTGGACTAGGGGTGACCCTAGTCAAAATCAATTTGTCACATTTTTCTTCGAGGGTTTATCCAAATGGATTTTATTTGTATTTGTTCTAAGCACTATAATATTTATGCAAAGTTTCAATCCATTTGGATAAACCCTCGAAGAAAAAAGTGACAAAATTGATTTTGACTAGGGTCACCCTTAGTCCAAAATTGAAAATGTATTTCCTACTTAAGTCTTTGCTCAAAAAATTTTTAAGATGTTTTATTTGTATTTGTTTTAGGCATTATAATATTTATGCAAAGTTTCAATCCATTTGGATAAACCCTCGAAGAAAAAAGTGACAAATTGATTTTGACTAGGGTCGCCCCTAGTCCAAAATTGAAAATGTATTTCCTACTTGGTTCTTTGCTCAAAAAAATTTTAAGATGTTTTATTTGTATTTGTTTTAGGCACTTTAATATTTATGCAAAGTTTCAATCCATTTGGATAAACCCTCGAAGAAAAAAGTGACAAAATTGATTTTGACTAGGGTCACCGCTAGTCCAAAATTGAAAATGTATTTCCTACTTAGTTCTTTGCTCAAAAAAATTTTAAGATGTTTTATTTGTATTTGTTTTAAGCATTAAAATATTTATGCAAAGTTTCAATCCATTTGGATAAACCCTCGAAGAAAAAAGTGACAAATTGATTTTGACAAGGGTCGCCCCTAGTCCAAAATTGAAAATGTATTTCCTACTTGGTTCTTTGCTCAAAAAAATTTTAAGATATTTTATTTGTATTTGTTTTAAGCACTAAAATATTTATGCAAAGTTTCAATCCATTTGGATAAACCCTCGAAGAAAAAAGTGACAAAATTGATTTTGACTAGGGTCACCGCTAGTCCAAAATTGAAAATGTATTTCCTACTTAGTTCTTTGCTCAAAAAAATTTTAGGATGTTTTATTTGTATTTGTTTTAAGCACTGAAATATTTATGCAAAGTTTCAATCCATTTGGATAAACCCTCGAAGAAAAAAGTGACAAATTGATTTTGACTAGGGTCGCCCCTAGCCAAAATTGAAAATGTATTTCCTTCTTGGTTCTTTGCTCAAAAAAAATTTAGAATGTTTTATTTGTATTTGTTTTAAGCACTAGAATATTTATGCAAAGTTTCAATCCATTTGGATAAACCCTCGAGGAAAAAAGTGACAAAATTGATTTTGACTAGGGTCACCGCTAGTCCAAAATTGAAAATGTATTTCCTACTTGGTTCTTTGCTCAAAAAAATTTTAGGATGTTTTATTTGTATTTGTTTTAAGCGCTAAAATATTTATGCAAAGTTTCAATCCATTTGGATAAACCCTCGAAGAAAAAAGTGACAAAATTGATTTTGACTAGGGTCGCCCCTAGTCCAAAATTGAAAATGTATTTCCTACTTGGTTCTTTGCTCAAAAAAATTTTATAATGTTTTATTTGTATTTGTTTTAAGCGCTAAAATATTTATGCAAAGTTTCAATCCATTTGGATAAACCCTCGAAGAAAAAAGTGACAAATTGATTTTGACTAGGGTCGCCCCTAGCCAAAATTGAAAATGTATTTCCTACTTGGTTCTTTGCTCAAAAAAATTTTAGAATGTTTTATTTGTATTTGTTTTAAGCACTAGAATATTTATGCAAAGTTTCAATCCATTTGGATAAACCCTCGAAGAAAAAAGTGACAAAATTGATTTTGACTAGGGTCACCCCTAGTCCAAAATTGAAAATGTATTTCCTACTTGATTCTTTGCTCAAAAAAATTTTAGAATGTTTTATTTGTATTTGTTCTAAACACTAGAATATTTATGCAAAGTTTCAATCCATTTGGATAAACCCTCGAAGAAAAAAGTGACAAAATTGATTTTGACTAGGGTCGCCCCTAGTCCAAAATTGAAAATGTATTTCCTACTTGGTTCTTTGCTCAAAAAAATTTTATAATGTTTTATTTGTATTTGTTTTAAGCGCTAAAATATTTATGCAAAGTTTCAATCCATTTGGATAAACCCTCGAAGAAAAAAGTGACAAATTGATTTTGACTAGGGTCGCCCCTAGCCAAAATTGAAAATGTATTTCCTACTTGGTTCTTTGCTCAAAAAAATTTTAGAATGTTTTATTTGTATTTGTTTTAAGCACTAGAATATTTATGCAAAGTTTCAATCCATTTGGATAAACCCTCGAAGAAAAAAGTGACAAAATTGATTTTGACTAGGGTCGCCCCTAGTCCAAAATTGAAAATTGATTTTCTATGGTGTACTTTTGTCAAAAAATTTTTTTGGATATTTTATTTGAATTGACATAATTCTGACATAAATCACATACCAATATTACTTTTTGTAATGCATAGCTTAAAAAAAATCGAAATCTAAAATTTCGACTACCCCATCTGAATTTTGTTCATACTCTTCACTGTGGAAACCAAAAAACAAATTCTTTGTCTTAAAACACTTAACGACATAGCGACATAATTCAGGATTAATTACTTTTTAATAATATTTTGACATTTACGAGAAAATGTGGTTCAAATAAGTGTGGAGTATGGCCGAGATTTGGACCAAAATCAGCTATACTGGTTCATAGTCTTCCCGAGGGTGACAAAATTCAAACTAAGTGTTTTTGTAGCTGACATAATTATGACATAAATTAGGTATAACTTTTGAACTGTGTCGATATGGGTCTCGGCCGTACTTCAAACCCACCCTTTAAACTTATGCTGAGCAAATCTTGGTCTATCCATAAGACTTTTGATGGTACGGTGTGAATATAACCGCATTGGGTTTCTACCCGATACACTAGTTATGACTGCATTTGAGAGTTTCATCATTATTATTAGGTATGAAAAAGGTTCGGCTTACTAAACATTCATTTCTTAAGCAATCCATAGAAACGCTAAAGGTAAGTAAAATAATTGGAGTACAAAAAGGTTTGTTTGATTC